CTAATCACACCTAGGTCAGGTCCAGCTTCCATTCCTGGCAAGTGAAGCCACAGAGCAAGCGGCAGCAGGTCAGGCCGGACACCCGGTCACCTGGCCAGTGTCACCTCCACCGTCGCGGTCACCAGACAGAAGAGGAGGCGGGTCTTGTTCTAGATAAAGAGAAGCCAGTCAAGTGCCCGCACCGTCTCTGATCAGATTCTGGTTTCGCCAAGTCTGCTGTGAAGACACCGGGGCAACGACCGCACGTGCGAGCGGGGATGTGCATGACATGACATGGGGGAGCATTTGTTAGTCGCGGTGACGGTAGTAGGAGGACGCGTGTCCTCCCCTAAAGGATGCGCATGCTCACATTCCGAGGGGGGAGTCGTGAGCACAGTAATTTACTTTAAAAATCATCTAAGCCAAATTGTGGGCGGCACAAGGCCTGCAGCTGCATCCCTAGCGCCGCCCCCCCCTCGTCCGAATGCTTGAAGTTTTTCATATCAAGAGCTTTTTAGACTTTTAATAAAGATCGTGAGCCGGCCGCGTGGAGGACCGGGCTGGAGAGGAGCCGTGTGGGGTAAACTGGCCGCTGCAGGGCCAAGGAGCAGCACTGGGTTGCGGCAAGGGCGGGGGCTGTAGGAGCACCTGGGCCCTGGGCAGCGCCCCAGGGGCCCCTGGGCAGGGGGACACTTTCTCCAGGCCTGTGTGGCTCCCGATTCCCGGGGAGTGGGTGATCTGGAGAGGCAGAGAGGGGTCCAGGAGGGTCCAGGGGTCCAGCAGGCAGAGGGTTCTGGAGGTGCAGGGAGGACCCCGCTAAGACCACTCCCTTCCCGGGTACGCTCACCTGCCGAGGCTTCAAGGCGATGCTGGGGTCACGGGGCCCCACTCACCCCAGTCCACCCCTCCCCGGGCTGGATTCACACCTGAGCGGTGGCTGCACACAGGCCTGAGGCCCAGACACTGAGCTGCAGAGGCCCCGGACGCCATCTGCGGGGAACGCACAACAGACTCGCGTTTTCACCCAGCACCGGCCAGCGGCCTGCTCCTCCGTCCCCGCGTCTTTAGGACCAAGCAGGTCCAAAGGGGCCGGGGGCAGGAACCCACAGGTGGCCCACAGCAGCACCCCGCTGGGCTGGGGCACAGTCCTGGACCCTGGTGGGCTGCGACCCCCGCCGGCTGTGAAGTCTGCCGGGGGAGCTAACTCGGCCCGTGTGAAGGGCCTGTGGGCCTTGAGCCTGCATCGTCTTCCTCCCCGCGGCAGAGCATCGACAGCCTCACCTGGCGTGCAGGCGCCTCAAGCGCCAGGCCAGGACCTCACCCCAGAAGACCCTCTAGGGGCCGAAGGGGCTCTGAGCGCCCGCCCACCCCGAGTCGAGCCGCCCGAGGGAGGCGGGGCCCAGCGCTGACCCCAGGGCTCTGAGGTAGGAGCCCCCCTCTGGCCTGTGGGGTGGCAGCCCATGGGGGGCAGGAGAATGGGCTGAAAATAGAAGCGATTTCCGGCTGATTTGCATGCATTTCCCTGTCATTTGCATAACCCGGGCCGTGCAGCTCACTCCGGGGTTACAGAACCAGATGCAGGAGCCGGCTCAGGGCCCCTGTTCTAGCACAGTCAGTCCTGGGGTGCCTGCCCCCCAAACCACACACGCTTTTCCACCCCACCTTCCAAGAAACGTGTTTTAAGGAAAGTCCACACCATGAGTTTCTTTCATGCAACAGAAAATCAGGGCGCACTGAGAGGAGTCTGGTGTTGGCGAAGGATCCTTCCTGGGGCTCCTCTTCACAGCTTTTCCAGCGCCCCGGTGACCGGGGCTCCGGGGCTCACGGCAGGCCCAGGCCCCTGCTGTGCGGGGCAGGCCCCCAGGGGCCTCCCTGTGCAGGGCGGGAGGGGGCATCCCTGCTGGGTGAGGGCCGGGTTCCCGCCCCACCCGGCCTGCGTGGCCCTGGGACGCCTGAGGAGGGCTGAGCCTTCGAGAACCCACCCCGTGCAGGCGTGCTGACCTCTCTGGGCCTCCGTTTCTTCCTCCCAGATCCTTTCACAAATAACTTTGCTCCTCGAGGAAGAGGGATTAGCAGGGATCCCAGCCGGACTTTCAGAGTCAACAAAGAATCAATTCATTTATCCACCAGCTCCTTCCAAGAACACTCGGCCCTGCCCAACCTCTGAGGCGCCCGACAGAGGGAGCAGCAGCGGAGGCGCTGGGTGAGCTCCCGGTGAGCAGCCGGGAGGAGGAGAGAGCAGGCGAGGCCCAAGGCTCTGCACTTCGCACCCCAGCACCAGGCTGGGGGTGCGCCCCCCACCCTTAAAGAACATGCTCCCCGCCAGCCTGGCTTCCTGGTCTCCTTGGGCTGCACCCCAGGTCGCCCAGGCTCTGAGCTCACGGTGAGTTCTGCTTAGAAGAGGAAAAATGAGACACACAGGCAGAAGGGGGCATGGAGAAGACGACCCCAGAATAGGCAGCACTGGACCGACCGCAGGGACCCCTGCCCAGACCCGTCCCCAGGGCAGGGAATGTGGGACTCCAGGGCAGGGCAGTGAAGACCCCCCTCCGCAGCCAGCCTCGTAAGCTGTCACAGCACCCACCAAACCGTCTCCGGGGGCCTCTTCCACACGGCTCAGGGGCCTTCTAGAAGCAGTCGGTGCTCCTCTGCCCTCAGACAGGGCTGGGGCCACACCTCCCTGGGAGGGCGTTAGGCTGGGTGTGGCCCAGGGACTCAGCCTCAGCCTTCCCAGGGAGGCCTGGGGGCTGCGCCCGCCACCCCTTTGGGCGGTCCAACAAGCTGTTTCCATTTTATTTTAAAATTAGAAGAGTGAGGGCCTCCCTGGCGGCGCAAGGGGTTAAGCCGCAGCCTGTGAAGCCGTCCACACCCTCTGCAGCACGAGTTCGATCCCCGGCCAGGGAGCTACCCACATGGCGCAGCAGACCTCTCCTGTCTCCCCGCTGCTCCCCTCAGCAGTGGATTTCAGTCGATCCTCCTGTTCCCCACTCTGTCTCTGGTGAGTGCTCTCACCCCCCGCACCTCTGGCCTGTACCCCAGTTCCCGTATGCATAAATAAGTAAATCTTTAAAAAACCCCAGAAGAACGAGAGCCGGTTTCCTTGCCTTTCGCACTACTGTCCCCCTTGGCTCTCACAGGAGGCCGGCAGTGCCCGCGTTCTCCGACCCCGAGAGCCGGAGAGAAGGGTGCGCTTCCGTGGGGAAAGGGACAACAGCTTCAGCGATGGTTTTGCAGCAGCCGTGCTTGAGGCAGGCGCCGGGACCCCAGCTCCTGCCGGGAACCCCTTCACACAGGTGTCTCCGCAGCCCCACCCTCGCCCGGGCAGGGCCGTCTGGGGCCCGGGAATGCTCAGACCCTGTCCACGTGAGGATGGTAACTGCTGCCGCCGCCACCCGTTTCCACTCAGCTCACTCACCCATTTTCAGCGCGTGTGGCTGGGGCGGGAGCGCAGGCACGACGCTCAGGCGCGGGGGGCCAGCCCGGGGTGGGGGGGGGAGAGGAGGTGCTGGAGGCGGGGCCTCGTCATCTGCTCACACGGCCCTTCCTCCCTTCAGCTCCCCCCCACCCCGAGGGCCACTCTCATTCCACCCCTGGAAGGAGGATGAGGACGCGTCGTTAGGTTCTCTTATTTCAGCCACCCGTTCCTCTCCGTCCCGCGGGTGTCTGGTCTCCCCAGCTGCTCAGCAGCTCTTTTCCCGGAGGGTCCCTCAGGCACCAGCACCTGCCTCTCCTCAGCCCTGGGCCCCAAACCCCAGGCAGGGGTGAAACTGGCGCCCACCATCCGCACTGAACAGGAGGTAGAGCCCGCAGCGCCTTGTGCCTGGACGAGGCCTTGTGCGCTGCCGCCGGCCCCGGTGAGCAGAGACGGGCAGGAGGTGGGCGGCCTGGAGCCTCCGGACCTGCAGCAGCCCCCGCCGGCCCTCAGCCGGGTGGACGACGGCCCCACCCTCTCAGCAGGAACCAAATCCTCTGCTTCCCCCAGCTTCCAGGGTCTGCGAGGTCACTCAACACTCAGGACGGAGGCGTCGGCAGGGAGAGACCCACGCCCAAACCCACACGCCAAAGACGGGTGAGCCCAGGCTAGCCAGTTTGGGGATTCTGGTGTTTTTTTTGTAAAAGTCTCCAGGAATTTTTTGCGACTCCAGGACTTGGGAGCGAATATCCCTGCGCTGGTCAGGGCTCTCCAGAGAAGCAGAACCCACGGGATGCGTCTGTGCAGAGATGTACTCCAGGGAGCTGCTCCCCGTGGCCACGCGCTGACCCCCCGGGAGCTCAGTGGCTTAGCTCCGCTCAGTAGCCTTGACACCCAGGAAGAGCCACTGTTCAAATCCATAGCCAGTGTCCCCGCTTGAAGGCCATTAGGCAGGAGGACCCCACTCTTACTTGGGGAGGAAGACCAGCCTTTTCGGGGCTATTCAGGCCTTCACCTGATTGGACAAGGCCCACCCGCATAAGGGAGAATCACTGCTTTACTCAGTTACCCTTTTAAATGCTAATCTCACCCAAAAAAACTCCTCCAGACACACCCAGAATAACATGACCAAATATCTGGGCACCCCACGGCCCAGTCTAATTGACACACAAATGACGGATCACACGCCTGCAGTTTTCAGAAGCCAGGACTACCCCCGGCGGGGACTGTTCCTGGCCAGGCCACCAGGTGGTGCGGGGGAGACACCTGGGTGTGGGGGGTGTCGGGGGGGGGGGTGTGGGGGGGGTGGGGGGGGTGGTGTGTGGCTCACAGCGGGCTCACACCCAGCAGCAGGGAGAAAGAGGCGGGGGAGAGGGTGTGTGGGGTTGTGGGGCTCTGCCCCAGCTGAAGGCCCCGGGTGCCTGCAGCATCAGGGCTCGGGGCCAGCTTGCGCCCGCCGGGACCCGTGTGCAGGACGCTGGCCTCTTGAAGGGCCGCGCAGCCGGCGTGACCTTGGGCTCCCCGGACTCCGCCCCTGGTGTCCCTCAACCTCCGAATTTCCCTACAACATCAGGACACCAGCCCTCAGGAAGGGAGCCTGCTGCTTCCCAGCAAGAAAAGGACTTTCCTTTAAACAGTCGAAGTTTATTATTGGTAACAATAAAAAACTCTTCTGGAGACTGAGTATTGTATTACCAAGAGTGAGGTAACATGTTTACAAAACATTTACAAGATTTGATACGCAAAGAAGAAGTCCAGGAAGGAGCGTGAGTTAAGACACTAGTCGTAGAGGAAACCCAAAGAATGTCGAGTGGAGAGAGACGCCAGCAGCACTTTTAAGAGTGCGGGCCTGGAAGTGCAAGGACACGCCCTGAGGGACTGGGCCTGGGAGCCGGAGCCCGGCCCGCTCTGAGAGCCCATGGAACGGGCACTTCTGAGTCAAGTGGGAACGAGCAGCTCTCCAGACCCGGGGAGGGTGAGTGCAGCTCAAACGGCCCCACAAACACCCCTGGCTGGTGTGGGCTGTCGAGGGAGCGTTTTCTTGGCAGCTGTCAGCAAAGTCGCCATCTGAGACAGAGAGAGACAGAGAGAAGGGACCGTCTTCAGGCCCCTGTCACCAGGAGACGGGAAGCACCGGCCTGGCCTGCCCTGCTCTCTGGAGACCTGGCTTGGGGCCATGGGGAGCGGGTCTCGTCAGGCCACGCACCACTGTACCGTGCCCCTGGAGCCGCGAGTGCGGAGAGGCCCAGCCAAGGCTCGGTGGGCAGAGCCGGCCCGGCGCCCACTTCTCCCGTGCCCCACCCTCACGCCCACACCCCGCTCGACATCCAGGCGGCCTTGCAGTCACGCGGCCAGAGCCCGTGTCCTTGGGACCCAGCGACACAGGGAGCGGCTGTACAGTCGGGGCGCCACCTGCATCCTCAGCCTAGACCAACCCAAGCACCCTCTGGGCAGGCGGCGACCCCAGCCCCAGGGGGAGCCTCCACTGCCTGACCCGCACCTTGCCTAGGCCCCGGCCTGCGAGGTTCGCACCCACCCATGCGTCCTCGCTGTCCTGACAGACAAGCAGGGCCCTGTGAGCCGCCCACTGTCCCGAGACCCCGCGGGAGGCGCTGTGCTCCCAGGGGCAACACGCGCCTTTGCAAAACGGCCAATGCGACTCAGTCTGTTCTCAAACATCCTTTTGTGACGGAAGGCGAATATGAGCTCTGAGGCTTTAAGCTACGAGGGGGCGGGGGGTTGAGCTACACTGAGCTCAGGACATTTGGCAGGTGGGAGGAGCGACACCCCCAAAGGAAGAGGCAAAGAATCTTTGCCTCTCTGCACACCACCCAAGTGCGCAGAGAGGAAAATCCTGCCCTGACAGTGGCCAGACTGGAAAGGGAGGAGAGGAAAGAACGCTTAATGGCGGTGGTGCTTCTCCCGGCAGCCACGCGGCCCCAGCGCCCTGCTCGCCAGCACCCACTTCCACACAGGGGTGGGCCTGGTGGTGGGGGCGTGGCGCTCCCGCGGCCCCGACCTCCCCAACCTAAGAGGTGTCTGCTCAGGGAAGGAAGCTCGCGGCCTGACCGGCCGGGTCAACCGGCGGGGGTGGGGGGGGCGGGGGGGCTGCGCGTGGCGGCGGGAGAGGCCAGCAGCTTCCGCTCCACGAGGAAGGTCGGTCGCCTCTGAATTCATCCGCTAACGGACAGTGTGGAGGTTGTTGGAAATATTTTTTGCATCAACATTTGAGACAAAGTCAAGCTCTGGATTGGTAGACAAATTACTCTTCTCTGGAGAGGCCTGGCGCTCTGGCCGCTTCTGCGCCGCGGGCGGGTCGGGTCTATGGCTATGGAGCTGCGGGGGCGCGACCATCCAGGCCACGTCGGGTCCGGGGTTACTTTTACCATCTGCAGAGCTACTGCTACCTAGAGGGCGAGGAGCCGGCGGGCAGGGCTGGCGAGACTGGGCCTCCGCGGCGCGTCGCAGCGCTACCTGGACACCATGGAGCTGGAGTGGGACTGGCTGGAGGAGGTGGTGGCGGCGCTCAGCTGGGAGAACCCGCTGTGGCTGGACTCCAGGCTGCTCATCGAACCTCTGTAATTGCAAGGCAGGGGGTGAGGGCCTGCTGCTGGCGCCCCCCCACCCTGCTCCCTGACCCCTGACCTTGGCCACCGACAGCGCCGACAGCCCCCGGGGGCAGGGGGACAACACCCACTGCTGGCCCAGGGCTCACACACCTGAAGTCCTCCGAGCCGATGACCTCGGTGTAGTACATCACTTTGCACTTGTGGGACGAGACCTGCAGCGAGGCCAGCACGTCGTCCACGCGCGGCAGGTTGGTGGCGGAGCAGGAGGGCATGCTGTGGAACCGCCACTGCAGGATGTAGAAGCCCGGCCACCGGGTCACGTGGGAGCCCTGGAACAGCAGGGTGCCGGCTGAGGGGCCATCCTCCCGAGGCCCGCTGCAGAGCCTGACAAGGCCGAGGGGCACCCGTGGCCACTGGTGACCACCGTGGGGCAGGCCTGCCCACATGGCCTCACACAGCTGCACCTGGAGGCTGCAGTCGGGGATGCTGCAGCAGGGGGCAGCCCCGCCCTGTGTGTCCAGGACAGCCTGGGGGGAGGCTGGGGCAGGGGCCGGCGCCTGGAGGGATGGGTACCCTTGGGGACACCCAGCTTGGCCTTAAGGGTGTCAGGCCAGGCGGAGCCCTGACCTGCGCCCAGTGAGCTAACCAGTGACTCTGGGGTGAAAGGATGTCACTCTGAAGGAGACTGGCACTCTAGGGAGCAGCTGTCTCCACGCCAAGCAGCCACGCGTGTGCGAGCTCTCCACGCACCGACAACCGCGGGCTTCATGGCCGTGTCTGCTATGGAGCCCGAGTGCCAGCGCCCCACAGACACGGGGCATGGTCAGCGAGTGGGGGGCCCTGAAGACAGCACCTTCCTGTTGCAGGCACTTCCCTCTGGGAGGAGATGCGGCATGGCCGGCCACCACGGGCACAGACGCCTTCGCCCCGCCGACCGTTTACTGCTGCGGAGCCTGCTCGCAACCCTAGGACTGTGCTCCTTCCCTTAAACCCCACACGCCGGCCTGCTCGCCCAGAGACAAGCCGGGGAGGGCGGGCGCGACTCAGGACCAGCAGCCTCACCTGCACGCTCTCCCCCTCCCTGCAGATGAGGGGCGATTCCACCATGCTGTAGTCGCGCCCCAGCTGCCAGGCCCGGTCTATCAGCTGCACGTTGTTCCCTCCCGGGGACGTGATGCTGTGAGCCCCCAGCGAGTCCTTCTTGGGGAGCTGCGGTGACCGCTTGGAGTGATAGATGTTGAACACAATGTCCCCTTTGCACACGTCGAAATCCCAAGTGATCACAGAAGCGGCGTCCACAATCTGAATGAGGATCTGGAAGAAGAGGCTGCGTCACGCCACTAGGCCCGGGGAGCAGGGAGCATGGCTGGGGCGGGGTGACACGGCTGACCAGCAGATCCCCTACGGCCCCATTCAGCCACCGGCCAACCCACTCCTCTGTTCTGCAGCCAGCGGTGCCTGCTTCACACCCCATGCCCAGTCCCGCCCTCGCCAGAAGCGCGCCACAGACCACAACATCCCAGCACAAGCGCGTCAGAGTGTGGGCACCATGGGGCCCGGCGGGGAAGACATGGTGCCGGGACGACAGAGGCTGCCCTTCCAGGGTGGTGCGCCAGGCTCTGGGGCGGAAGCTGCGCGAGGGACATGGCAAAGCCCAGGGAGGCCCAGCGAGGCCGTGGGGAGCCAGAAGCTAAATCAGGATCCCATGGGAGGGACACGACGGCTCTGCACAGGGCCACGCTGGGGCTGTGGCTGTGGCGGGGGAGGCCGTGTGGCACGGGCGGGCCGGGCCGGGCCTCGGGTGTTGAGCACCAGTCTGAAAACGGAACTTTCCACGGTGCCCATATAAAGCTTCCCAGCAGGGAATGATCAGAGTTACAGTTTCAGATGATACTGTGAGAATGAAAACCAGCTTTGAAATGCTATGTAGTCACTCAAAAATGTGGGCAGACGCCAGGGCCCACACCCTCTTCCTCGGAGTGGGCTCTGGGGCCTCTGCAGGGCCGGCAGCTCCCCGGCTCTTTCAGCACCGCCACCGCCACCTGTCACCACTAAATGCCACCACGGGGCTTTCTGGAAGAGCAGGGCCCAGCACAGGCGGCCCCGCGGGGAGCATGGCGGCACCCCCGAGCCTGCAGTCCCTCCCTTTCTTGCATTCCCACGGGGACACCGAGTTCAATCTTTATTTGGGGGACACTGTCCTTGAGGTGTGCTACTTAATCCCCAAAGCAAAACCGACGTCCTCAGCTTTCCCTGCTTTGATGCAGGAAGCCTGGCAAGACCCAGTGGCCCGCGAGAGGCGTGCTCACCGCCAACGTCCCACGCAGACAGGGGAGAACAGCCGGACCAGAGCCCGCCTCTTTGAGGAGTGACGTGAGACGCTCCCGACACACGGGCACAGAGATCAGAGGCCTCCCCGGGGGCCGTGAGCACGCTCCCTGCCCTCCTGCCTGCCGGAGCACTGACAGCCCCACCTGCCTCCAGGGAGACGCTGCAGCAGGCACAAGGCTCTGCCACCCCTGGGCCACTCTCCGGCCTCACCCGCTGCCCAGCCACACGCCTGGTCCTGGTGCAGGAGTGGGGCTGCCATGAGCAACTCATGCTTCAGAGGCTGCCACCCGCTGTGAGAAGACAGGGCGCCTGTGCCTGTGAGGCAGCGGCGCGAGTCCCTCCTCACTGAGACAGACACAGGCCGGCCCGCCAGACGTTACAGTCAAGGACAAGCAGGAAAGGAAACGGGTCCTCTGTGGACACTGAGCTCCTCCCCGCTCACTCCCTGGGCTGGGGGTCTGGTAAATGGGCCGAGAGGGGCACCCCTGGCAAGGCCTGGGGTCGGGCACAGCGAGCTCCTGGCACCAGAGGTGCCCACTGCTCAGGGCCCTTCACGCCGAGCGCGGCTGAGCGCACTGCCCTGGCCAGTCCCGAGCCGCGCGGGGCCCACCTCGTGCGGGGCCCCCTTGAACACGCTGGCCGACTGGTAGATGGTCTCCGTCCACAGCTTCAGGTCCTCACTCTCCAGCTCCTCCGCCGTCCTGTACAGGGACTTGGGCACCAGGCCGCCCTCCGGCACTTCGCACTGGAAAGGCAAAGGCAGCGTGAGAGCCGTGCACAGGGGCCTTCCAGACCCACCCGCGCGGCCGCCGGCCCCCCCCCCACCCCCCCCCAGCTGAGCAGGACTGGAGAACGCGGGCAATGCCAAAAAATATTCTGCCACTTAGCAATGTAATTAAAAAAATACACGTGTTCTGCTTTAAACAAAAGAGGACAAGCTAAAGCTGCTTTACCACAGAATTCACACTAATACGTGTGAGGGACTGGACTCAATTACTAAAGCTGGTTTACATGAAAAATAGAAGTATTTATATTGCGCTGTAAAGAAAAACATTGTGTCAGGCGGAGGGCGCTACTCCCAACAGCTGCAGGCATTACTGTCGTCACGCGCACGCACAGTCCCGCTACAGAACCGCAGAAAAAGCGCCAGGCCCGGCCAGATCAAATGACAGGTCAGAAATGCCAGCCAAGGAGCAAAGCACTCCTTTTGGACAAGCCTGGGATGCGCTAAGGTCATGAACATTTGGACACTGCGTACATTTCCTACCTGACCTTGAAATGATCACTTAACGCTAAAATTTGTAAGATCCAATGCGCCCTCTGTTAGCAGCCCCTGGGTGAGAGCAGGGGAGATGCGCGGCGGGAGGGGGACACCAGGATGTGAAAACCCTTGGGCTGTAGGACAGTGGCCAGCCGGCTGCCCCCTCACAGAGCTCACAGAGCCCAGAGAACCCAGAGAGCCCAGAGCCCAGGAGCACCAGGGACAGCACAGGCCTGAGGCCCTCTGCAGACGAGCAGGACAGGGCGTGTGGGACACAGCAGTCCCCTGTCCGAGTCAAGCCCCTGTGCATCTGCTAGACTTAAGCGGCCTGTTCAGCCACCATGATGGTCACCTGCAGCTCCGTGTTCCCATACAAAGGTCAGAACTGCCCCGTCAAACAGTCACAGGAGCCAAACCTTGCAAGCACCTTTCAAACCAGTCAAGAGCAGAAAGCTGGATCCCCCTGGGAAGGGTGTGCATCATGAGGCGTGACCGGGGACGCCCGGGGGGCTGAGGACAGATGCATAAACTCACTCCCGACTCATACATCATGAGGTATGACCGGGAACGCCCGGGGGCCGAGGACCGATGTATGACAAGGGACCCCAGAAGCTGATCAGTGGACGCCTTGTTGGTGAGATTAGGACGGTGGCCGGGGTCTGGGGCCCGGTTTCGATGACAACACTTGGTCATCAAGCTGATAACGTGGTCAGCAGACTCGTGTCCCCCAAGCCCTAGGTGACACTCCTGAGTGTCACCATCCCTTTCTCCACCTATGATTATTCTGTCAATAAAAACGGCCAGGATCTTGCGCTCAGCAGCTTCCTGCCTTGTGCAGCCTGCTCCGTGACACCCGTGTCTTTATCAGTGTGGTGCTGCCCGACGTAACAGCCCCCACGGCAGCGCGTTCGGGCCAGGCCGAGCAGGAATCCTGTCTGTCTTTGTGGGTTTAACAGGTCTGGCCTCCTGGTTCAGTCTCACGGGTCCTCTAACTCACATGCTCCTTTACCTCACAGTGCAACCCCTTAAGCAGCACTGTGACCTGCGCTGAACTCAAATGCTGCTTAAATCTCCCGAGCCACCCATGAAGACCGTCCTGAGACCAGCCCATTAGCGAGGTTCGCGAGTCCACTGTGCACATCCCATGGGGCAATCGCGTGTTTTCACAGATGGCGGGGTTTTTCTCTATAGAGGTCCCAGAGCAGAACCCCGGGTCCCCTGCAGCCACGGAGCAAGTGGCGCGCCCCCGCAGCTTGGCTCCCTTCCTCGCAGCAGTGAGGAGCTGAGCTGCTCAACTCCCCAGCACAGAGCAGGCTTGGGCGTGCAGCCGCCTGGCTGTGCAGCAGCTCGATGCGTTACAACCCCCAAGTCCGCATCAAGAGAACTAGTTGTCTTAAGTTACACCTGCTTTAAAAATGCACTGTTCATTTTAACCCTCAACTTACAGTCAAGGGGAACATCCTTTTGTGAATCAAGTTAATTTCTTTTTTTTTTTTTTTTTAAAGATTTATTTTTTATTTATTTACATAAGTACTGGGTACAGTCAGAAGTGTGGAAGGGTGAGAGGATTCACCAGAGCCAGAGCGGGGAACAGAATAGGCAGACTGACGAAGTACACTGCTGAGGGAAGCAGAGGGCGGCAGGAGAGGTCTGCGCACCATGTGGGACCCTTGCCGGCAGCCGGGGATTGAACCGGTGCTGCAGAGACTGCGGGCAGCTTCGCAACCCAGCACTCAACCGCTGCGCCACCGGGGAGGCCCCCAAGTTAATTTCTAATAGTGTGTTTGAGAATGTACAGCTCCTCTAAAACAGCTCAAGAATCTGCCTCAAAGACGAGTGACCAGAACAAGCTGTAATCATGCTGGATTCTGAAGCATACTCAGCAGCATCTGACGGCGCAATGTGCCTGTTACAGTCACTGCCCAAGCGAGCCTGCGCAGTGTGTCCTGCTAGCCCCACCCCAAAACAAACACAGATAATCCACACCAAAGTTCTGCAGAGCGTCTGTGCAGACCAGCGCCCCTCCCCACCCAGGCAGCCCCAGCAGCCGCCGGCCCCCACGCACCATGCACTCCCCGCTGAGGAAGTCGGGGATGACCTCCCTGTCGATGTAGTCCAGCAGGCCGCCAGGGCCCTGGTAGTCGTTGCCCGCATAGATGAGGAACTTCCGCCTGGTGTTGTCATCGATGAACGGGCTGACCTGCGGGAGATCAAGGGCCAAAGGTCATTCTCGTCCCGTGGCGGGTGGGGCTGAGGGATCCTGACGTGGACGCCCCCTTCCCGCCAAGTCCATCTGCCTGAGGGCCCCAGGAAACGAGGGACTTCTTTCCTCCCCAAAACAATCTAAGGAATTTCAGCTCTTTCTAAGTTTCCTCCCAATGGGCTGGGATAAGCCTGGCCGCCTCCAAGAGGCCGGCCGCGCGGGCGCAGGGAACCCACCAGTGTCCAGAGCACGGGGAACACGCGGGGCGCGCGCAGGATCAGCAGGCGGCCCAGCGTCTCGGGGTAGTTGGCCTCCACCACCTCGATGATGCGCAGCAGTGCCCTCACGCCCGGCCGCCACAGGTGCCGCATGTTCAGGCCCTCCAGGTCCACCAGGCAGGTCCAGGAGCTGCGGAGGGGGCTGGTCAGGCCGGCCTAGCCAGCTGCTTCCCTGAGGCTTTCTTTCCCAGGTTATAACACTGGCTTTTACGTTCATTTCCAAAAGCCACAGGCTGTACACACGAGTGGCACGTATCTCCTCACAGGGAGCTGCGGGGTCAGTGGCAGAATCAAGCCCTGAAACTGCAGGGCAGCTCACGCTGGTCACCAGGGCCAGGAGCCCAGGGCCCCGCCCGCTGACCAGGCCAGCAGGGGCAGGGCTGCCCCACCCACCCCACCCACTGCCACCATCCACAGGGCGCAGGACTGGCGTTTTAACCAGCAGCGTGACTCCCCGCACCAGGTCCTGTCAGCAAACGTTACAAGCGCCGCCTCAGAGCCGAGGACACAGCGGCGAACAGCCCCTCACGCCCCTGCCCTCGCGGCCCACGTGCCCGTGACCGCCCTTCTCAGCGCCGGCCCCGCGCTGTCCGGAGCTCACGCCCGAGGGTGGCTCGGGGCCCAGGGTACCTTTTTTTGCCCCTTTCCCAACCAAAAAGGGAAAAAACTGCAGCCGGGGTTCGCCAGGCCCTGAGGTGGGCGCGGCCCAGGGGCCGATGCACTCAGCCCACCCCTTCCTGCACAGCTGACCAAAAGGCAGCCGCTTCCTGCCCTGAGGAACCCGGGGAGGGCCATGGACCACCAGACTCCATCGGAATCAACCCGACGAGCTCAGCTCGCGCTCCCCGCGCGGGAGGGCGCCACGGCCCACCCACCTGATAGGCCGGCCGAAGACCTTGGTGTTCTCCTCGCAGCGCCGCAGCCCCTCCTCGTTGATGGAGAGAACCTGCGCACAGAGACCTGTCACCGCGCGGCCCGGGGGACGCTCCCACAGCATCGCGTGGCCCGAGCGCTACCGGAGGTGCCGGGACACGCGCACACGCAGGACGGCATCTGGCACGCAACAGAAGCGGCACCGCTGCTGCGGCACGGTGGCAGGTCCGGGGGCAGAGGCGGCACGGGCAGAGCAGGGCAGGAGGGCGTGCTGGCCACAGAGGGGCCTCACGCCAGCCGGCCTCCCTCGGGGAAGCAGTCGCCAGGACACCACCAGAGCCCGCGGACACGCATGGGCAGTGGTCAGCAGACACGCTGGGCTGAGAGCGCAGACGCAGTGCTGGACTCTTGCTCTTGTTTGTCTTTGAGTTCAAGGACAATGTATGCTTGGGGCGGGAGAGGCCATCACCTCCCACGAGGCAGGGGAAGGCCTGGGCCTGGAGGCCAGGCGAGCGGGAAAGAGACAGAGCCTGCGTTAAGGCAGGGCCTGTGGAAAGAACGGGGAGGGGGATGGACAGCGGGGAGGGTTGGCGTGGGCCCTGCGGAGCAGGGTGCAGGAGGACGTGACTTGGGACAAGCTTCCCTCAAGGCTCCGCTATCTGTCGACACTTCCCATATGAAATATATTTCGTCCTCTTAAGAATTTTTGGAAGTACATGAACAGATTTCCCTCCAGTTCCAGCAACACGTGCCGCAGGCAGCTGTGACGTCCCAGCCCTGCTGGCAGGGACAGAGAGCGCGACACGAAGGGGGCACTTACGTATCTCAGCAGGGCCTCCTCCCCGAGGGCCCTCACCAGGCCTTTGGTGTCCATCTGGCCCAGCCGCAGCACGTAGAGGGGCCGCCCATCTGTGGGGAGGGGTGACCAGCACAGTTCTAAGCGCTCTCGCCAGGAGACGGCTCGCCCGCCACGCGGCTCCGGCCTCTGTCCCACTCCCAGAAGCAGCAGCTGATGGGGGTGTGGCCACACCCCCAACATTTTTCTCCCCAAAATTATAAAAGAAGGAACTCAAAACCAGTTGATAGCCGCTGAGCAGGTTCTGGAGCCAGCTCTGCCTGGGCCAAGGGGAGTGAGCCGCCCCCGCCTGGCTGACCCAGGACTGGTCCTTGGCCAGGCTGGCCGGCCCCGCACTGAGCCCACCAGCCGCTGCACAGAGCTGATCTCGGCAGTGAGGGGATGTCAGTACCCAAGACCCTGTTTCTGTGGCTTTGGAGCACTTCTAAGACGTCATATCCCAGCAGACATACTTTTTTTTTTTCATTTCAGGCCGGGGGGAGGCCTGAGCAGACGCCGCCATGAGCAGGGCAGGGTCCCAGCATCCCCAGAACCAGCACCTTGACCCCCACACCAGGCCTGCCACTTTCCGGAGAATCCAGATCTGACAGGTTCTACTGACAACAAAAGGAGCTTTGTGCTCTCCAACCTGCTGGGAGGCTTATAAGAGCCTCCCCAACAATGTCTTACTACCAAACTTTTCATCTTTAGGGGACTAGAAAGTAGAAATAAACATCACGTGCTTCCAGTAAAGGCTGATAAAGCTGCAATAAATCTGGAGAAGAGCCAAAGAGGGAGAGCAGACAGGCCAGAGCTGCCCTGGGGGTGCCGGAGCCACAGGCTGGGGTCTGGTGGTCAGTTCCGCTCCACCTCCCCCCGCAGGTCAGGAAGCAGAGGGCGTGCCTTGACAGCAGGCTTCCCTGCAAGGCCCGGGTGGGGAGCAGCCAGATGAATGCACTCATGGGGCCAACCCTCGTGCAGGCCACCGCTGCCCCTGGCTTGTCTCCCTACCCCCTTGGGTAGGGGCTGAAGCCCAGGCTTGACCTGACCAGACCCGGCCCCACAGTGCAGACACCATGGGGCTCAAGGCGCTGGCCAGCCTTCACAGGCGCTGCGCTACTGAAAACGCCGCCCGCTGCTGGGTTTTGTAAGTCAGTCACATTCCCCTTAACTGGTGAAGTGCTGGCCCAGGAGACAGTCTGCTTGCTCCAGCGGCGAGGGGGCGGGGCCTGAACCCAAGGGCCCCTCAGTCCTGATTCTGGAGAATGAGATCTTGGCCCAGGACTCACCTTTGTCATGGTGGTGCCAGCCTCCAGCGTAGTAGTCCTGCAGCACCTGAGGGGGGCTCCAGGTGTCGAGGATGTAGTCCACCTGGTGCTGCTTGCGCCACGTCAGGGACTGGCACATGGTCTCTCTGGCCTTGTCGATATTGAAGTCCCGGGCACGTAGGAAGCGAAGAATATGCTCATCTTTCGGAATCTTTTGAGAGAAAGAGAAATTTCTGAGCGACATCAAAAGGTACGAAGGGAATAACACTCTCAAGCCCACCTCCTCGAGCGAGCTGCACCACTCCACTGCTTAAAACTGGCTGCCACAGAGAGACCCCCCGCGATGTCTGGAAAATCAGCATTATTCATCTGCATCACCATCTCAGCATTCCATTTTAGTTTCAGCAAAGTGCAGCGAAGGCATAAATAATTTCTTAAACCTCAAATGCTTTAGGGCCTCCCTGGGGGCACAGAGTTTAAAGCCTCAGAGCCATCGCAGCCACTGCAGCACGAGTTCAATCCCCGGCCAGGGAGCTGACCCACATGGCGCAGCAGACCTCTCCTGACTCCCCGCTGCTCCCCTCACAGTGTATTTCAGTCAATCTGCCTGTTCTGCTCCCCACTCTCTCTGGTGAATCCTCTCACCCCCGCACCTCTGGCCTAAACCCCAGTTCTTCTATGCATAAACAAATTACATCTTTAAAAAAAACCCACAAATATTTTAATTCACTATGGATGACTGTGCTCTACACACTTTCCTGTATATATACTTAAAAAGTTAGAATACAAAAAGTGATGTTGGTTTTGGGCTGCTGGTGGTCTGACACCAGGGACCTCCTAGACTCTCCTCCCACATCAGCAGGCAGGCGGGCGCCCGTGTCCGAGCCTCGTGGGGATGCAGCACCCTCCCGCATCACTGCCACTCAGAGAGGACCACGTTATGTGGAGTAAGAACAGGGTTCTGGAAGCAAATGGCTTGAAATCCTGCCTCATCGCTCACTGGGTACAGGGCCTTGGGCAAACTTCTCTGTGCCTCAGTTTCCTCATGTGGTAACAGGGCAATTAAAAACAGCCCCCGCCTCTCGGGCTGTCGAGAGGGTTGACTGAAGCGCCTACAGCAGCGTCCAGCGCAAGGCAAGCAGCAGGACCAGCCGCGTGATGTGCCGCTGCCCGACATGGTACAGCAGTGCCCGTCACAGACCCACCTCTGCTTGCCGCCAGCCCCCGTGCACGAGCGATTCATCGTAGATCAAATTGCTTAGGAGGCTAAAATTTCACCCAAAAACTGAATATGAAGGTTCAGACATTTCTAATCTCTGGACAACCTGTCAACTCCTTCCGAACCTTTTGAAGCGAAGTGGCCTGAACCCCAGCAGAAGAAACCGTTGGGCTGCCATCATGCTCTCAACCCAGACATGCAGCGCAGCACACGGGCACCCCCACCAGCCCCCTGGGCGGTGGCAGGAACGCCTGATCAGAAGCGGGACACACAGCGGGACACGCATGCCAGTGCTCACCTTGCCCTTGTGGGTTTCCTGGAGCCACTGGCGAAGGCGGATCAGGCAGCTCTCCTGCAGCGGCGTCAAGTCCCCCAGGTAGCGCTTGATGTAGTCGGCATCCAGTTTGTCTGGAACACAGGTCACACGACGTCACTGGGACGGGACAGGAGCGAGGCCCCCACGCCCCTGGGCTCAGGGAAGGCGTGTGGTGTTGATTCAGCACGGCCCGGGAGCGGCCGGGGCGCAGCCTCCCGAGTGCTCGCGGGCAGCCTGTGGGTGGAATCACCGACAGAGCCGAGGCCAACGTGCTGTTTGACTCCCGCTCCCTGATTACGCTGGGTCACCTCTATCTACTGGGTCACCTCTACTTGCAAACCCTCAATCCTATTCCAGGTAGAATGAGGCAACGACTACCTTTAATGCCTTTTCATTCAGTTATATAAAGATGAAATCAAACAAATGCATCTAAACCTACTTTAAATAGCACTACTACGTCAAGAGTACAAGCTTTCTTTTTCCTGATAAGGCAACAAAGTGGAAAACAAAGAAAAATCTGCAAAGAAAAATCCACAAAGTAAATAATAAAACATCTTCCAATCAGTTTAGGTGTGCGCCCCGCCGGAAGCTAACAGTGCGTCAGCACGGGGACCCCTCACAAAACACCTGGGGGGCTGGACTGGCTTCCCAAATTTTTATAATGGGCGTCACTCTGAGAAAAAAATTGCCTTTGTGGGCGCGTGAGGGAGACCCACAGGGCAGGGGCTCAGAGCATAGAGCTGCAAGCTGGCCCTGGGGGCCTGGCCCCAGGCCCACACCCCCGTGACCAGGCAGCTCCACTCCAGGTGAGAAGTGGGCCCCACGCACTAGCGTCCGGGAAGTGCTCGGGGCAGGCCCGGCAGGCAGCCAGCACCACGTGCTTGAGGCTGACACCACTGCGGCCTCACAGCCCCTCCAGACACCATCCTCCAGAGTAAGAAAGACACATTTCCTGGTTTCGATAAAAGAACAATTCACTCTCACCCTTGTTGGCCCTTGTGAAAAACACAAAATGCTAAGTCTTCGTCATTCCAAGAAAAAAGCGCAACGAGCGCATCCTGGGGAGAGAGGAAAGGGCAGGACACCCAATGTCCCCCCACCCCGTGACCGCGGGAAGCCCCGAGGCAGCAGGCCAGGCAGGAAGGCCCCAGGGAACAGCGCGAAGCATCGTTCAGACCCACCGTCAGGGGTCCCCGCCACGGGCTCGGCCACCCCAGTGGGGCTGCTGAGGGCCTCACTGCTCAGCCCCTCCTTCTGGGCGGCGTCCGGGGTGACTGCGGCCGAGGCCACGGCCTGCTTGCTGCTGGAGGAGGCCGGCTCCGCAGAGGGCGCGGCGGCAGGCGGGGTCCAACGGGGCACGAAGGTCACGCCCTCCTCCTCCAGCTGGCGCAGGTAATATTCAATGATCTCCTTGCCCTGCGGGACAGAGCCAGCTTTCAGGTGCGTACACAGCGCTCAAGTCACTCGCTCCTACCGCCTCCAGCCCACGAGCGAGAGGCGAATCACTACAGAATGAACAGGAAGAACCGAAGGCCTTTGTGGTCTTATTTTTCGTAATTACTTTAACTTTCTCTCCTCCCAAAGGCCTAGGAAATCACACCGAACTTCTGCTGTGACGCGCGGAAGCGCAAATCCGCCCCCGCGCTCGGTGTGGGCGTCCCGTGCCCACCCAAACCCTCCAATGCTGCGGAAAGTGGCGCGTGGGGGCGCTGCTGAACCGGGCCGAACCACCCCTGGAACCACCTGGGGGCAGGGGGCCGGTGGGGGGCCCCAGGGCCTTGGGAGGCTAATGGCATTTGGGTGGGGGCCTGCTGCGGCAGGTGTGGCCCGCACAGGGAGATTACCGCTATTTAAAAAAACCCTGTTTGAAATTCAAAAACCCAGCACAAAAACCCACCACATGGTGCATTTCCAACCAGACTCAACAGCAGTGAGGGTGGACGTGAGAAGCCACCACCCGAGGGAGGGGGACCCCATCCTGGGCTGTGTGCCCTGAGGGTCCCACAAGCGGATCCTGGGGAGGAAGCTGGGGTACGGGCAGCAACATGCTCCAAGCCCAGCTGGGTGTCAGGCTCGGGAGCCACAGTCAGTGCCTCTCCTCTTCCAGAAACGGCCAGGAGTCTGGCCAGCCCACCCACCTCCCAGAGGTGTGACACCCTGGAGCCTCAAGACTCGCCTTTTTGATGTTGCTGGTGTACTGTTTCATCGCGATTTTTTCTACTGTACTTTCAAATCCAAAAAAAGACTTAATATCTAAGCTTGCAGACTGTTCAAAACAGGTCCAGTCTTCATTTTCAGGGTGAACCTGCGGGTGAGAGAGCGCTCCCGGTGACGCTGCTGGCAAGCAGGCTCTCCCCAGACCCCTGTCCGCTCGTCAGTCAAGCGGTGACCAGAGAAAAGCACCAAGTTACTCCAGACGCCGTGACCAAGGAGATGCAGGGAAACACTGAGATCCAGTCACAAAAAGGCCAAATGGGGTTCAAAACTACTCTGCGCAGGACTACGGGAGAGGCTCGTTTTCACTTAGCTCACTCATTCATTCACCAGCTGTGCCGAGCGACGGTCGCCATGAGGAACAGAGCCCCTGTGGTAAGCTCAGTCCCGAGGGGCAGGCGCTGGCCACCAGCATAAAGGACAAGAAACTACATGGCAGAAGGTGAGTGTTGTGGCGAAAAGGTGGAGCAGGGCTGGGGGGCAGCCTGCAGAATTAAATAAGGCCGGAGGTCTGGCTTCACCCAGCAGGGGGATCCGAGCCAGCCAGGAGGAAGGAGGGAGGAATCAACAGAGGGGCCCGGAGCAGAGGCGCTTGGGGAGTATGGCTGTGTGGTCAGCGGGGGCGGGAGCTTGTGCAGGGCCGGGGCGGGGTGTGGCAGGGGGAGTGAGGCTTGGGGGACCTCCTCTGAGTGGAATGCAGACACTGCAGGGCTTCGGGCCAGACAGAGTCTGACGTGCTGTAAATGGACCCTTTGCAGTCAGCGTTGAGGGTAACAGGAGAGCAGATGGAGACTCATCAGGCCCTAACAGTCTGGGGCCAGGAGTTCTAGAAGCGGAGGCTGACCCAGAGGATGGCAGGCAGACAGGCATGCTGGGCTCAAATCAGAGGCAGACAAGGTCCTGGCCCCTCCGTGCAGTTCCAGGTGTCCGCGCGCCCGGGAGGGAAGTGGAATATTATAGAGCAGTGTGCAGACCCGAGCCAAGGCCTCGCTCAGCTACCTCACTGCGGAGACAGCGCAACCCACCCGCAGGGTCTCCCGCTGCTGCCCCAAGCGGCTGGGGGTGCTATCTGAGGGGACCGAGGCACGGCCTGCACGGCACTCACGGAGTAGCAGCAGTGCTCGTGGATGATGACCCGGCTGGAGAAGGTCTCGTTGTGGGCCTCAATGTGCAGGGTGCGCTCCCGAGCATTGAGGGAGTTTTTTTGGACAAAATAAACATAATCAACTCCGGCAATCTTTAAAAGAGAAACAGAGAAAAGGGGCAGTTGGCGACTGCATGGGCGGGAGCCGCGGGCAGGCGGGGGACGGGGTGGGGGTCACCTTCTTCAGCAGCCGCGGGGCATCGATGTCCAGCTTGCAGCGCCGCTCTATCACGTGGATGGCCCCGTCCTCGCTCTTGAACTCGCTCACGGTGTCGCTGTCCACAAACATGGGGATCAGGGGGCAGGTGGGAAACCTCCGCTCATAAGCCTGGGACGGGTTTAAAAAAGAGGAGCTGAGCGAAGAGGCAACCAGACTGCCTGCCATGGGGTGCCCCTCCCCAAGACAAGATCACTTCTCGATGAGTCCCCACACCCCCTTCCTCTTTCATTCCTGCTCCCGAGCTGGAGAAGCCACCGTTCTCCCAGATGCGCACAGAAGCCCGACACAAGAGGAAGCCGCAGAGGTCAGTCCCGAGTGGCCGAGAGGGTCAGGCACACAGGCCCCCAGCAGAGTCCCGCGTCCGAATGTGCCAGCTGCAGGTGACAAATGAGCAGAGGCAGCTCGAGGGGAGGGAGCCTCTCCACAGGTGTCCTGGAGACCCCGCACGTGCAGGCCAGGCCGGGGGCCTTGACCAGACCTCACACCACATGTAAGAATTAACTCATGATCCAGCAATTCCACTCCTAGGTGTTTACCCAAAGGACACAGAATCATGAATTCAAGGGCCTTCCTGGTGGCGCAAGGGGTTAAGACTCAACCTATAAAGCTGTTCGCAGCCTCTGCAGCACAAGTTCAATTCCTCAACCGGCTAGGGAGCAACCCACATGGCACAGCAGACCTCTCCTGACTCGCCCGCTGCTCCCCTCAGCTGTATATTTCAGTAGATCCACCCGTTCTGCTCCCCACTCTGTCTCTGGTGAATCCTCTCACCCCCCACACCTTGGGCCTATACCCCAGCTCTTGTATGCATAAATAAATAAATCTTAAAAAAAAAAAAAAGAAACGTTAATTCCAAAGGGCACCTGCATCCCTATGTTTATAGCAGCACTATTTACAACAGCTAAGCTATGGAAACAACCCAAATGCCCCAAAATAGATGCCTGGATCAAGATGTGGTCCATATACATGATGGAATATTACTCAGCGATCAAAAAAGATAAACTCATGCAAATTGCAAACATGGATGGAGCTGGAAGGGATCATGCTCAGTGAAATAAGCCAGAAAGAAAAAGAAAAATACCGGATGGTCTCACTCATAGCAGGAATTTAGAAAACCTAAATAAGAGACCACGAAAAAGACGAACTATACTAAAGTAAAAATCAAAATCAACAAGCAACGATAAAGCAGAGATACACTATGCGGGGGGGATTAGGGTCAAAATAAGAGGGGTGGGAATTGTATGGGGACTATAACCAAGATGAAAATGCATACATTGTGCAAAAATGAAAATGATGTGAAAAATATATAAAATTAAAACATTTTAAAAAAAAGAATTAACTCAGACTCCATCCTGGACTTCACTGCAAAGGGTCAACTATAAAACCAACAGGGGATAAAGCAGGGAGAAATACTGGGGAGCTGGGCATAGGTAAGGAGCAAAATGAATAAACAGAAAAACAAACCAGACTTTGCTCCGCTAGAGACCCTATTAAGGGGCTGAAAACACGCCTCAGGCGAGAAGAAGAGCTCACAGGCCGACCGAGGGCAGTTCCCACACACACACATGCTCCAACAGCCTCACAACACACAGCTCACACCACGAGCCCGGGCCCGAAAATGGCTCAGATGGTGAGCGAGCTGTGCTCGCTTAAAAAATTAAAAAAAATTAGAAAATTAAATTTTTTAATTTAATTTAAAAAAAAAGATTCAACCAGAAAAATTCAAAGTCAAAAATAAGGCAAATGGTCAGAGGACACAACAGGCATTTTCTCGAGGAGGCCGGCAAAGGAGCGCGGGGTCCCCGGGCGGGGCGGCGCCCGGCCAGATGCCGGTGAGGGCGCGGGTCCCGGCGTCGCCACTTCGGAGAGGAGGCGGCTCTTAACGACCCGCAACGCAGCGACCACGCGGGGACTGGGCAGCAGCCACCCCGCACGAGACCCTCCAGGGGAGGCAAAGTGCCGCTCCCGCCAAACCTGGCTGCGGAGCCCCCCGCTGTTCACTCAGCATTGGCCAGAAGCGGGGGACCTCCCAGACGCCCCCACGTGTCCAGCAGCCACCTGCCGCGCACACCGTGGACCAGGCTCCAGACAGCAGAGAAGGCCTGCACGCCGGCAGCCTCGTCCCCTGAGAACAGAGCGATGGCCGCCAGGGGACCGGGGCACGGGCGCGCCGGCAGCAGGAGCAGCATTAAAAGGCCCCCAGGAGGACACCTGGGAAGCGTCCCGACCCAGACTGTCCCGGCGTGCAAACGGGGGTGACGCGCAGTGTCCAGAGCGTGCGGCCTCCCTCGCTCAGCTGCTCTGCCCACACAACCCACTGAACAGTGTTGGAAGCAACAGACCCAAGACGCAGCCTTTATGTCTGCCCCACACGCTGCTTGCGAACACGGTCACGGTTAATAACGCACCGTGAAAACTAAAATCTGTGAAAACGTGAGTCCTTTTAAACTTACAATTCTGCTAGCTACAGTATACTTTGTCCATGCAAACACCCACTAGCAAGGCAATGTGATTAGCTCTTTTTGAACGAGCTAAACACCCTAGGCAGGAGGCACAGCCGCTTCAGGTGAGTGCCATCCTGAAACCACCGTCCCTCCCGCATGGCTGGTCTCCAGTGGGACCCAAGAGCAAGTCACAAGAATAGCCTGGAAGCCCACCGGGAAGACCCAACAAGAAAGCCCCAGGATTACGTAAAGCGAAAAAGAATGACGCAAAAATACTATGTCCCAAGCTAATGCCCTCTAAGATCAAACAGGCTGGAAGTTTAAATCATGAATTTCATCCGAGAAGAGCTCAAATTCCTCTGTCCTCACAACACACTTTTCCCGGCGATGTCCGGTCTGGAAAAGGGGGGCTCTCACCGCTGGTGCTACGAGGTCAGGAGGGCCTCTGAGCCTGAGTGGGGACCACAGCACCCCACCAAAGAGCTGCTCCCTTTCCTGGGGCCATCACACTACAGTGTGGTCACGACTACGACCACAGAGGCACAGGTACAGCTGACAGAGCAGATGGTGAGTTGCTCACACACACATTATCAAAAAGTTTGCAATTCCAGGGCCCCCCTGGTGGCACAGGGGTTAAGTCTCAGGCTATCAAGCTGTCGCCAGCCACTGCGGCTTGAGTTCAATCCCCAGCCAGGGAGTGACCCACATGGCGCAGCAGACCCCTCCTGTCTCCCGGATGCGCCCCTCAGCAGTGGATTTCAGCGCATCTGCCTGTTTTGTTCCCCACTGTCTCTCACCCCCCACACCTCTGGCCTCTACCCCAGTTCTTATATGTATAAATAAATCTTAAAAAAAATAATTCAAAAAAACAGTAACTTAAGCTAAAAGAGTGATTTTTATTTTTTTTACTTTATTCTTAAATGACCAGTTAGGTGAAGCCACGTGAGCCTCCTGGCCTTCCCCTGCCTTTCACCTGCTGATTCTTAGGGGGCGGCTCCTGTTTCAGCACAGCCGCCACGGGAAACCCGCTCCACGAAGATGCGGCAGCATCGAGGGAGTACATGGCGATCTCAGCCGAGAGGCCGGGCTCGGCCACCTGAGCGGGAGCTGTGTCTCCAGAAACTGCAAGTAGCCACAACACCACCCAGCCCCGCGGCCCCCAGGACACGGTCGGGAAACCGTGGCCCCGAGAGCATTCAATGTTATTCATTCATTCAAAGCCCTCGGCTCATCGGTGACTTGCTCAAAATCTACACGCGTGGGCTTCGATCCAAGGATGATGCTCTGCAAGAAACTTCCTACCGATACAATTTATTTCAATCAAATAGGTTTCCAATTTTTTCACAAATACCTTTAAGCATTTCAGAGAGGCGTGAGCCAACTTGTGTGAAGGGGCAGACAGTAAATACTTCCAGGTTTAGGGGATTCTGCTGTAAATGCTCAACTCTTGCCTTTTTAGGACAAAACCAGCCAGACATAATGTGAGAAAACGACACGGCCATGTTCCAACACACGGACGCTGGAACTGGAATTTCATGTACTTTCCATGTCAGGAAACCGTCTTCTGGATTTCCCCAGCCATTCGCACATGCGAAAACCACCTTTGGCTGAGCAGTAAGCGGGTGGGGCCAGAGTCTGCCCACTCTCGACCTACGCATTTAACTGTAACAGGCTCCATTTCACTCCTTTCTCCTGAAAGAATCAGGTTATTACCAGCCAGTTGGCCCTTAAGGAGCAAGAGTTAGGAGCGCACGGATGCTCACCTCACATGTCTGCATTTACCCGAACTGCTCTCCGTTATTTAGCAGGGTCCCAATAGCTGCACACCTAATCTACACACGCACACACTTAACAATATGCACTGAACCTGGAACAGCAGCAGGGAGGAGGCAGGAGAGAGAGGGAATGTGAGTAATGAAAAGAACACCCACAATTCACTCAATGGACAGGCTCCAGCACTGGCCACAAGTGGACATTTAAATTCAATTACAAATAAGTAACATTAAAATTCAGCTCCTCAGTCGCGCTAATCACATTTCAAGTTCAGGGCGTTGCTCTGGCATTATTCCTGGCCGGCGTGAGTGAGTGACTCCATCCCGAAACAGACACTGCCCGGCTGAGGCTGCCCTCTGCCCTGGCCGCCGTCCGCAGAGGTCCCCGGGAGGTCGCTCCTCACCAGCAAGTCTTGGGATGGCCTCTCTCCCTGAAGCCCCGAGACACATTCATACTTCCTGCCAACAAATCACACTAGCGTGTGTTTCAAATCTGTTTTATCCACCAGGCTTTTAATTGAAAGTCCTTTGTCTAGCTGGAGCATAGACAGCTATATCCTCTGTTCAAAAATTTCAGGTTTTGGAGGGAATTTTTGTTACAAAATAGGCTGCTGTGAACGCACGCCATTCAGACAGCCAGCTGAAGAGCAAACAAACCTCAGTTAATTCTTTCAAGGCCAACTGACTGACAAGCCACACAGGCCTCTTCTGACTCTGGAGGCTGCGGGAGAGTCAGGGGGCCTCACCCCCCCACGCCCACCCCCGCCTCCCACTATTACCACAGGCCCCCTCCGGCCAGCCCGGCCCCAGCGCTGCACAGGACTTGCCTCCCCGGAGTCCAATCCCAGATGCCCCACTTCCTGCCAAGAATAAGTGACTATTTCTCTTTTCC